TTGGGCTCTGATACCAATGTTAAGATAATAGGATAAAGAAAGGGCCTTGCAATCAAGTGATCACCCCTTTAGCCAGTTGGCTTAGGGTGCATGGGATAGGATCCTAACATTGGTATCAGAAAACTCGTCAAGTACATCCCGTATTGCTACTTCTCCCCCACATGTGCCTTGGTCCCCCAAGTCACGAACAAACAGCAAATAACTCGAAAGTGCTTTTCCATTTCGACAAGCCCACTTCAAAAATGTAGTAGAGAGCATAACAACTGGTGGTTGAATGCCCTCGCCAAACCATACATTTTTAACGCCACTATACTCTAGCGAGATATGCTTAATACTCCACTTTATCGCTGGATCCACCTTCACCAACCATGACATCCCAAGAATGAGATCTACACGATGGATATCCGCGAAATAAAAAGTCTCCACAAGTGTGGTTTTGCCAACCAACACTTCCAGCCCCTCAACACAAGCATCGAAATGCTGAGTAGAGGTAACTGCACCTTCCATTGTGTATGGAAGAACTCCGTGTGTGACCAGGCCATGCTCCGCAACAAACTTTGCCGAAACAAAGTTGTCATCACTCCCACTATCTAGTAAAATCCACATTGGATCACCACAGTACACGTCCTCCAGCATTCAAGCTGATTCACCCATATCTTCGAGCTCCATCTTGTTCCACACACAGTTGAGTTGACGAGCAACGATTGAAAGTCTCTTCCTCCAACCGGAATGGTCGTTTTCATCATCCTCATGCTGCAAAGTTTGCAACTTTTTAGTATCTAGCTTACTGTGAGTAGAAGATTGGCCATTCTTCTTGTCTTGCTGCTTTTTCTTCAACTACGGATAATCAGCCTTATAGTGTTCAAGTTGGCCACAATAATGACAACCCTGTTTATAATTCTTCACAAAGAACTTCTGCTTCTTGGACCCCTTTGCATCCAAAGTAATCACCACCGACTTCAACTTGTGATATTTGTTCCCATCCTTGTGTCCACGGCGATTATCACGATGATTCTCGACAGAAAGACTCCATGAACACTTGTGAGACTTTGAAGAGTGAGGTAGGTAGAATATACCTGTATACTCTAGGATATTCTACCATTGAATAGTTGTTATTCATTTCTTGTATTTATAATTTATAAACATGTTTATAATTTATAAACTTACCTAAACACTTCCTAGAATTTTCTAAATTATTGATATGTAATAAGATTAATCTTGTGTTTATAAATTATAAATATTTTTATAATTATAAAGTTCCAATTAATTGATTGGATTAATAATAATAAACACTACTATTAAGCACACCTAACAAATCATTACTTCAGCAAGTTTTTAGAGATGGTAGTGGATATACCTAGAATATCTTTGGATATTTAGGGACATTTTAACATCTAACAGTTGATTTACAATTTATAAATATGTTTATTTTTTTAGCACTTCCTAGTATATTCTAGTTGTGTTAATAATTGATCAATTGGATTAATATATAATACTAACACTACTATTAAGCAAACCAAACAATGAAATGAACAGAATTTTTTTATTATATAATCAAATACTTCAAGTCGCCTACTCTCCTGAAGTCTTGTCATCCATGCACTAGAAATCTCAAAACCAAAAATCAATGAAGACAACACTTTAATACCACAATGCGCCTATGCACCAATGCTCCAACTTGGCACTCTCCTATCACAAGAGCGACTGTGTCAGTGCTCGTTGCATAGGTACATTCCTTAAGGTCTTGTTCAGTAGCCTCAAGCAAGTTGCTTCCTCCATGGAGGTATGAGCAATACATCAAGCTCTCCAAAGCCTTTGGATCTGCAGTTCCAAGACTACCAAAGTCATGGTGTCTTTGCCAAGTGTATAGGGTTCGAAGCACTGGTTCCGTCACATCCTTGCACAGTACTATTGTTGCCTTTGCCAAGTGATGCTCCACATAGTGTCTCATAGCGCCTACATGACCAGTTTACCAGGAAGGTTTAAGAGAGAACTTCCAAATTATGGGACTTGATCGACCTGGAAAATCAGCACTATAGTAATCTGGCACCATGTAGTCGTAGCTGTCCTCCCAAAAGTTTTCAACGTTGCTCCAGATGTCACTACACTTCCAGGATCGCAACTCCTGCAACATAAGGTTAAGAGGACATCGAAGAAAAAAAGAGAATGTATTGCACAACCTCCACAAAATGTCTAACCACATGACTTGCGCCGCCATCCTCGCTAGATTCATCCTCGCCAAGGAGTGGCCTCAAAAGGTGGTATCTTCCTGCAGCTGCATGGCAGCGCATTTGCTCCAGGATCTCCATGTTTATATAGCTCGAGTTACTGCAGTCTATGTCTTCCATGCTCACCACAGCCACAAAGTTGCAAAGCTCTTGTCTCACTTGAGATTTCGGAGGCGCTCGGGGACACTCCGCATCCATATCTTGTATCGGTCCCGAGCTTGTTCGAGCGCTAAAAACCCATGGCTGCTCATGATCAAAGTTGATCGCACCTCCTGCAGGAGCGACAGGTTCTTGCATGGCGGCCATCCCATCAGGGTGTAGTCCTTGCTGATCTGATCGACCATGAGCTTGTGCTTGAACTGGCCGCCGCAGCAGCGCAGCCACGAGTGGAAGAGCCGAGCCATGATCACCGTTGTTTCACTGCACTCGAGCTCCAAAACCGACGAGTGGACCTCCATTTTGGTGACGAGCTCATTGAAGCCTCTGCTCGCGATCGTCACTAAGGGACGGCCAACTTGAAAATCACCATCTGCAGCCTTTACGTCTTGCATCCAAACGAGCTCTATTTTGTTAGTGAAAGCTGAAAGAAACAATGGAGCTAGCAATAACTTGAATGAGCTTCTGGATGAGTGATGCTGGCAGGCTTGGTATATCCTGAATGGCAGCGCTTGATGTATCGTCCCCATCCGAAACCAAAGCCAGCTCTCCAGCTGCTCCAGACCGGCCGAGGAGAGTGGCTTCATGACATTCTGCTTGTTCGAGTTGAGAGCAAACACTATTGCCAGGTCCACTGGCAGCTCCTCCGCAAGCTGTGGCGGCATGGGCAGCTTCATCGGCCCCTGTCGATCCGCATCGCTGATGCTGGTATGACGGAGGATGTACTTGAGCACCTCCACGGCTTGATTGAAAGCGCTCAGGCTTCGCCAAGAGCCACGTATAGAAAAGCTGGCAGAGAGGCTCCGTCACTCGAACACATCGTCGCGAGAGACCTCGACGAGCTCGTGTTGCGAGCTCACAGGATCGTGAAGCTTCAACTGGCGATGCATCTCACAAAGTCCTGGATCACGTTCAAGCGTCGAGAAATGGAGAGAGCTGGCACTAGAACTTACGTAAATCGATTGCCTCTCGGTCGACGACGATAGTCCCGCTCTCATTCTGCCTCTTGAGGCCCTACAATCTGGTTTAGATCGAAGAAAGAAAGAGATCTTCCAGCTTACATATCGGAATTCGCCCAGCCAGCTATCGAGCATTGGCCTGTTCCAAAGGAAAGAATCCAGTTGATCCCACCCGACTGCCATAGGAGCATCCTCGACCTCGGAGTAGCGGCAAAGATCCAGCGCCAGAGCAACGAAAGAAGCGCCGAAGAACTCAAAGTGCTCGGTGGACACTGATTCCCAAACATCGTAACGCGCCTTGTCGAGAGTGATGCGAGCCCCGGCCGATGATGTGGAGAGCGCGAAGTGGCGGAGCTCGTCCAAGAGGCTTGGATACAGCGGCGCGATCCAGAGAGCATGGACATCCTCCTGGAATATCTTGCCGCCATAGCCGCGCAACCACGAGAAGAAGAGGCGAATGAGATTGACTTCGATCCAGAAGAGCTTGCGCCTCTCGCGCTCGCGCATCAGCACCAATCCCCCGTCCTCCATCGTCCGCGCTAGAGCGAGAGAGAAATTCGTCCTAATAACGCCGTTCGATGGTATCGAACGGTGGAGGTAGCACAAGCACAAACCGTTGGATTCCATCGGACGGTAGAAAGTGGTGTTTCAAATGGAGCCGTTGGATGGTATCCGACGGTGGGCAGCGGATGTCAAACACAAACCGTTGGATTCCATCCGACGGTGCTCCTTGCTCAAAGAATCCGCGGGAGAAATATTCATCGCACAAGACCTAGCTTGGCAGCGATGGAGCAATGCCTGTGATGGCGATAAACTCTTCCGCGGTGAGCGAGCAAGATTTCTATCTCTCTTGCGCGAAATCTTTTCTTTCTTGCTTTTTCTATTGTTTTCGATCGAGATCGTTCCAAGCGGAGACGACGAATTACGCGATCGCGATGCCGGCGCCTGTATCTCCAGTCGAGCCGCTCGTTCGCTCCTTAATCCACTCGGCGTTCGTGATGCAGTCCATCGCATGCTCCGCCATAGCCGCTGGCAGATTGCGCAACCGGACAAGATCCTCTTCAAACCCTCGCTCATGGAAATATTTCGGAGCACCCACGCGCCTATGGCCGATTCGTAGCGCATTGCCAGTCGGAATCCATCGCGAGATCAGTGCTCACGCGGAGAGGTATGGTATGCTTCTGGAATTCTTTGATCCTTCTCCCTCAATTCTTTTTCTCTAGCACAGCCACCGTGGATAACATACTGCCGGACAGGCAAGATGGGCCATTCACGTATCTCTTCCTTGGATCAAACAGGGATGAGAGCATGCGTTACATCAGGGATGGGATCGATCGCAAGGCCTTGCTCGCCAGCTTCTTCAGCACTGATCCAGAGCAATGCAAGTCCAGTGCTGGATGTGGGCTGGAGAAAAGAAAGTACGAGGTCGACTTGGTTCTTACCACTGCATGGCTTGTTAAGGTGAACAAATTTCCATTTGTTTGCTTTGTCGATCGATCGATCGATACCTTCTTCCAGGAGTTGCGACCGTCCACTTTAAGTCTCCTCTTCCGGACTTGTGATAGAGCACGACAATCTCGACACTTTTGCAAGAACTGCTGGAAAGGAAGAGCTCCATAGCGGTCCTGACCAAATGGCTTGCTTGAGCATCGTCTTCTTACCTTCTCTCGTATAAGCTTGCCATCATCTGGTAAGCTGTGTCGCCGGCTTTGTCCATTTTCAACAACGCATCGAATGCCAGCCTTCCCAGAGCAACGTTTCCAGACTTGGAGCAGGCACTTAAAACTCCCATCCATGCTACAGCACTCACTTCTCCTTCACGAGGCATGGACTCGGCCATGGCCACAGCGTCGTCCAGTTCATCAGCTCTGCAAAGTATATCGACCATGCAAATGCAATGATCGCGACCAGGATTCACACCATACCTTATGCGCATCTCGCCGAAATACTTTTTGCTTCGCTCGACCAGCCCGGCATGGCTGCATGCCGTGAGGAGAGCCACAAAGGTGGCCTCGTCCGCTCAAAGTCGGGGCTCTGGCAGGAACTGTAGACGACGAGACAGTTGTCCTCGTCCGGAACGACCAACGCAGTCTGTGGTTCCATGTAGAAATAGTACTGCGACCCTGTGCGCACCTGGAAGTTCCACTCGTGATCAAAACGTGCTTGCAAAAGAAAAATTGCTCCGTTTTACCTCAGCGTTTTCGATCTTAAGACTGGCCTTGGCCATCTCTTCGGCAACATTACCGTGTTTGTCCTTCATCACATCCTTGCAAAACTGTGGGATCTCGTGGAGTTCCCCTCTGGCAACCGCTTCTTCCATGGTTAGCACGGGAGAGCCGACAGACTCCGTGTCGTAATCAATCACAACTTTGCCGGCGGCGGCCTTGGCGTTTCTCAGCGTGTCCGCAATCTGGACGAGAACAGGTTTAAAATCAATGGATTCGTCCGTAGCTTACCATAAGTCCGACGGCATGGCCCACGCACTCGACTTTGTCCTCGGCGAAGAGCTTTTCTTGAGAGAGATCGGAGACGAGGCTCATATTCTGTCCGCCAGAAGGAATGTCATCAACTCCAACGAAGGACACCGCGCCAGGCGAAGCCAGTGCATTCTCCAGCCGGATTCCGTTTACCTTGGCCAATGCTTTCGTACTGTAAACATAGACTGCGTGCACGCAGTCCCTCGGAGCTGGAATATCATCCACGTAAATAGCTTCACCGGAAGAGAAGTTTTAAGAACGAAAACTAAAACCAAAACAGAACAGCTTACCTGAAGCTTGAAGCTCTCCCATAACCTTGGACATTGGCTGTCCGACAGCTCCCTGGAGATGTTCTTGCAATGTCTGTCTCCCAGACATGATCTTTCTTGACGACCTCGGGATGCTTCCATTCTGGGCCTGTGTAATATACGGGAGCTCAGGTACAATGCTGCTGCTTGGAGCGGCTAGAGAGCTTAAGAACTTGAAGAGGAAGCTCGCAACAAGCGAAGACCTGTAGTCGGCCTTCGAGGTCCCCTTCTTCGGCACTGCACTGGAACTCCAGCTGGGGGTGTGGAGCCGGGCACTCGAGGTCTGACCTCGGCTGCCCATGGTGTTTTAGTGGCCGCGTCAACACGGATGTTAGGCGTTGTGGACGTTGATGACGAGTTCTCAAATAGAAACCTTCGCGAGCTGGATGGCCTCCAACATAACTCCACTGTCCACCACCTTCCCTTCGAGAAACCTCTCAACTTCAGTAGCACGCTGACAAGTAGGCTCTCCTCCAAAAGCACCGAACGCGAGCCTCGACTCGCAAACTCGTCCGTCACCCGAGAGATTGACGAGAAACGCCGCATTCACGTAAGCCACGGCGTTTCCGAGAGGCCGAGGTGATGCCCTGTATGAGTCAAACCTGACGTTGTCCTGCTTGCTGTAGGATGGGATGCAGATCGACTTTAAAATGCTTTTCCCGTCCCATGTAGCTGCCACAAAGTCCTCCACAGACTGCCGTGATTCTCCAAACTTCTGCGTCACCACCTTGACCGAAGCGCCGGCTCCAACCAGCAAAGTCGCAATGTCGGAGTCGAAGCCGAGCTTTTGTGCCAGGATCAGATTTCCTCCCACACTCCCCGCGTTTCTTACGTGCAAAGTTGCCACTTTTCTCATGTGCTCGGCCAACTTGAGATAAACTCCGCTCGAATCACTGCGGCCAAATGCTTCGAGGAGAGCTATAAGCTTGGATATCTTCACGGCAGCACCGACTTCAATCCCATCCTTGGTAGCTTTCTCCTCCAGGACCTCTGGAACGGCACCGATCTCTATGAAAACTTCCGGACTGGACTGGAGATCGTCCTTGTAAATCCCTGTGCTGGTGTTTCCAGCTACGAGCCTGGCCGTGTCTTGATACCTCTCGAGCATCGTGAAAACTTCCTCCAAACCACCCGGTCGAATCCATTTCTTCGTAGAACCCAGAGCAACGAGAGAGTGATCCTGATGATCCAGAAAGTCGGGGAACCGAGAACCTTCCAGTCCTGGATTGTAGCCCAGCGAACAGAGAGCTGGCCTATTTCTTCTTTCCTGTCCACGCGTCCGGTGGGTCACGTCATAAGAGCTTGTGTTAAATCAAACCACGTCGTCGTCGTGGAATGGTGGTTTTTTAAAACGCATCTCCCACCCACTTATAGGATCATCAGAGGAAAGGCAAGCAAGCACAACCCCAGCAATGATGCCTCAGGGCATCTGCAGCTTATTGATACCTTGTGTTCCACCACCTTTTCTATGCTAAACGAATCTGCTTTACAAATGCACGGAAAACTGTTTCATGTTGTTTACGACCTTCCACATTCTACATACTCAATTCCCCCAGATCCCCTGGAATCTGTGTCCCCACCCTTCTGAAATTTATAGACAATTGTTAAATAAACAGTGTTATTAATTGAAACAAACCAGTAGTATTATGATGTTGCACATGGAAAGAGTGGCTTTGTAGAATTAAATTCCTTGTTACTCTTAGTGATGAGCATATGCTAGACATCCAAAGTGCAAATGCAAAACCTTCAACTATGTATAAAAATAAACTAGTAAAAAGTAAAAAGATTTAAGATTATAAACATTTAAATGTTTATAAACATTATAAAATGAATTAACCCAAAACTTAATATGCTAAGAATATTTAAAACTCTCAACAAGGCAAACCAAAAAATAATATTAATACTTATTAGATTCTTTGCATTGTGAGTGTATGGAATATGGAAAAGGAATATAGAAAATGTGCATATCAGTTAGCCCAAAAACCCTAGTTTATATATAAGAGCAAGTGGTCTAGATTGAAATTAATCTAATGGCTACCAAAATCCTATTACACTAATATTAGCATATGGCATTATAGCTGTGGAATATTAAGAGGAGGCATTAGCAGATCTATAGGTGGCATTAATTATTCTTGATCCTTTTGTATGAAGCATTTCAATTACTGCACATGCACAATCGTTGTTGGATGTCATGCCAAACTTTATAAACTTGTGGTTCAACTTGCCACAACACCTAATACGGTCCTTTCCACTGAGGAAGGAGCCCCTTAGATAAACTACAAACCATAAGATGGGGAAATCAGACTAACACAAAGTCATCCACTTTGTACTCTGTAGGTGGATGATGTTGGGAGTTGTAACACTGTTGTTTTCTTGCTTGTACGTGGTCTAGATGTTTGGCAAACTCTACTTGGACAAGTGGAACAATGCTCCTCAAATACTAATCCCACGACCTACCATCGGTAGCTCATGGCAATCATGAAAGTAAACTTAGCTTTATTGGTAATATTGGATTATGACCTACAAGAGTTTATATAGTGAAGCACCAATAGAACTTTGCACCTTTGTGATATATGCATACCAAAGAGATGGCAAATAACTATCTTAATTCGAATGCTAAAAGTTCACATACTTTGTGATTATCCCTTTGAATGTCCGAACAAGCTGTTCCACCAAACTGTCTAACTGTGGATGATAAGCACTGGTGAAAGTGTGGCATATCCTCAACTGAGATATCAAAACATAAAATGCCTCAACCATAAATGTGGGACCATTATCCGAAAGAATCCACTCCAGACAAGAATGCTAGAACACCACTTGATTATGGAGGAAGTATCCAATAGCAGTTGCAAAGGCATTAGCAACTTCCACCTAACGAATCAAGTAGTCAGAAGTAATAATAATATACTCATTGCCAATAGTTGATCATGGAAAAGGTCCCATAAGATTAGATGCTACCAACTCAAATGAAAAAGAAATTATAATTGACTCCAACCATCCTTCTGCAGCATAAAGGAGAGTATTATAAGCTTGGCACCAAAAACAATTATGCACATATCAAATAACTTCAGCCAATATAAAGACTTTTGTAGCTTTTCAGTCACACGATGATGTCCCATATGCTTGCTTAGAACAAGAGAATCATGGTAAGCATGAAGAACCCATGGAATAAAGATTGAAGGCACCACCATGTAAGCCACAAATTTTTCCTTTCCAATTTGCCAGCTTACCTCGTCTATCTGACCAACACTGCCTTGGCTTATGCTAAGTTCCCTCGCCAAGGTTATCGCATATTGTACCAGCTCCTACTTGGTCCTACTTGGTTTCAGCTACTCACTGCACGAGCAACGGAGAGTTAGCCTTCCATCCACGGATTCCCAAATCTCTCCCAATCCCCCTCCCCGGGTTAGACTGGACTTAAGGTTCGGCTACACTCCCCGCAGGCACAAGCAGCCAAGCACACCAAGCCTCCAGGTTCCTAACACCCCTTGGTACCACAAGACTTGATCATGGGACCTTCTAAATCCCAAGCCTTGGGTGCAACACTTGCTTCGGGACATCAGGGCGAAACACCGTGGCCTAACGGCCTAGTATGGGTACCTCTACCCCCCCCACTTCCATCCTGAAGGGAAGGCCCAAGCTCCTAGGAAGGGCGAGGACCAATGAGCCACAAGGTACTCAAGTGGGGCACCACTTCACATGAGCCGGGAGCACCGCAGTCGGTTTCCCTTTCGGGAGCGGGAGCTGCTCTTGAGCACTTCCCTGGGTGGCCCCTCCGGCACCACCCAAGCCCATACTCACTCCCACCCAAGGTCCCTCGGCCCTAGTCTCAACCTCAAGTCAGTTTAGAAGCACCACTGGAGAGTTCCTTCAAGACTGGTTCCTAGACCTCACTATCCCTACTATACTTTTGGAACCCCCTACAGCCCTCCCCCCCCCCCCTGGGAGACGCACGCTTTGGGCTTTCACCCCTTGACCCGTATTAGTATTTGGACTTAGTCTCAAATTCGATCTCGGACTTGATCTCGGACCTGACTTCAGATTCGGTCTCGGAATCGATCTCGAACTCGATCTCGGACTCGATCTCGGACTCGACTTCGGACTCGACCTCGGACTTGGTCTCGGACCCGATTTGGATCTCGGACTCCATCTCGAACTCGGTCTCGAACTCGGTCTCGATCTCGATCTCCGATTCGGCCTCGGCTCGATCCCAGACTCTATCTCAAACTCGGTCTCAGAGTCGGTCTTGGACTTGATCTTCGACTCGGTCTCATCTGATGAACTCTTTGTCGTTTCGGTCATGCTTTTGGGGATCCTTTAGCCTACGACATCTCGGGGAGTCGGTTCCTTACAACTCCACCACCCATAGAAGAAGTTCAATGCCCACATCGAACGTCTCCTTTTATCCTACAACTTGTTGACCATGTCTCCGGGGGCATCCCCCCACTTAGCAGTGTGCCTAAGTTAGCCTCCCCGGCCAAGAGCCCATGACAACGGAATATAGGTGTCTCTATACCCCTCACCTCACCACGCCCTAATATGGGGTCGGGACTTGAACTTAGCCTTGCTTTACTAGGGGGTTGGGACTCAAACCCAACCTTTGTAGAATACGTCTACGGATTCGACATCCCCACGGGGAGTCAGGCGTAGTGCCCTACACCTGGTCGACCTAGCAAACCCATGCTAATTAGCTTACCTTCGGCACGCCTTTGGGTCCCAACATATGCCACTTGCTCAACTTTGCAAATTGATATTTTAATTGAACTTTGCATAAGTACATAGAGTTCTGCCTTGCAGAAATTCCTCCATTAGATCTCGCACGTTCGCTAGGTTCTCCTTTGGTTCCCATGTTGCCTCGCAGTGTGGAAATCCTTTCCACTTCACATAGAACTCTCTCACCTCGCGTCCTTGTCGCTTGCTCTTGCGCGCATTGAGGATGTCTTCAACTTCGTATTCCTCTTCCCCTTGGATAACCTCAGGTAAAGGTCTCACTTGGTCCTTGCGAAGCGGATCCTCAAAGTACGGCTTGAGTAAGTTCACGTGGAACACCGGGTGCATCTTCCCCATCTCTCAAGGAAGTCGGAGACGGTAAGCCACTTTACCGATTCGTGCCTCAATCTCGTAAGGCCCCGCAAACCTGCTTAAGGAACTCAAGATCACTTCATTTATAGGAATACATGCATTTTTACCTTTGGGTCAACTTTCGGCTGATCCCACTTGGTAGCCTGAGGTTCTTGGTGTTCAGCCACACCTTCTCCCCAGCTTGGAACTCTACATCCCGACGCTTCTGGTTCGCGTACTTGGTTTGCCTTTGTTGAGCTCGTTCCAAGGAATCCCTCACTAGATTCCAGATGTTGAGTCTTTCCACCGTGAATGCCTCCACTGCGGGTAACTCTCCATGATACTCGGCCTCGCCGAGTTCCACAGGACCTTCAATAGCTTGCCCATTGATGACTTCCCATGGACTCACCCCGATACTCGAATGTCGTGAGTTGTTATAACACATTTCCGCGAGTCCCAAATGACTTACCCAATCGGTCTGGTCTCCCAAGACATAGCATCGCAAATAATCCTCCAGCTGCCTATTCACCCTTTCTGTTTGTCCGTCTGTCAAGAAGTGTTAGTGCCATCCAGCTTGACTTAATACCCCATACCTGTCTGTGGGTGGTAGGTTGTGCTGAATTTCAACTTGGTGCGATATTATTCTAGGAGAGTTCTCCAGAACCTACTAGTGAAGATCTTATCTCGATCTGAGATAATCTCTTCTGGCCTTCCCTGTACTCGAACCACTTGTTTGAAGAACAGCTTTGCCACACCTTCCGCATCCACTTCCGTTGTGGTGGGTATGAAATGTGCCATCTTCGAAAATCGGTCCACCACCACGAATATCGCATCAAACCCCTCGCTTGGGGGAAGTCCCATGATGAAGTCCTTCGTAAGACATTTCCACGGACAATCTAGAATTGGGATGCTTTGCAACAAGCCCTCACTAGCCTTAGTCACGGCTTTGACCTGCTGACATGTTGGACATGTCTTTACATAGTCTTGGACGTCCTTAGCCATATCTGACCAGTGATACTTCCTCTTGAGTAAGCCCATTGTTTTGGGCACTCTGCCGTGTCCCGCAAGAGGTCCATCATGACACTCTTCTAAGGCTACCTTCTTTAGTTCCCCTTCTAGGACATACACCCTCGTTTGCTTGTAATAGATGAGTCCGTTGCGTTCCGCATAGCCCGTTTTCTCTTCCGTTGGCAGCTCACTTCTCTGGTGAGCTTCCCGTGCCTCTAGATTCCTTAGCAACACTTCTTGTGCTAGACCATCGTTCTCATATGCTGTCCGCACATCGTCCCAAAAGGTTGCTGTCGCACTGGATATCGCCAACTTCAAGCTCACTTTTCAACTTAGCGCATCTGCCATGATGTTGCTCTTCCCAGGCTTGTACAGGATTTTGCAATCAAACTCGGCCAAGGCATTGGCCCACCAACCCTGTTTCCCTCTCAGGTCAGGCTGTGACAAGAAGTGTTTCGTTGCCACATTGTCCGTGTAAACCTTGAAGTGTCTCCCAAGGTATGTCGCCACTCCTTGAGCACCTTGACCACCGCAAACAGTTCCTTCTCGTGGGCAGGCCACTTCCTTTGAGCCTTGTCCAACTTCTTTGAGAAGAACGCTATTGGATGGTTGTCTTGCTTCAAAACTGCACCCAACGCAAAGTGCGAAGCATCTGTTTCTACCTCAAAGTCCTTACCAAAGTCTGGTAATGCCAACACGGGAGCCTTCCTCAACTTTCTTTTGAGGTGGACGAATGCCGCCTCGCATTCCGCTGTCCATACCATCTTCCCTTTTCCTGTTTGGTCCGTTAAGGGCAGGGCTACTCTCGAATAGTGTCTGATAAACTTTCGGTAGTAGTTGCATAGCCCCAAGAATGCCCTCAAATCATGTACATTCGATGGTCGCTCCCATTCCTGGATCGTTTGGACCTTCTCTGAGTCCACCTTGAGCCCGTCCTGGCCCACCATATGCCCGAGAAACTTTACCTTTTGTTGAGCAAAGTCACATTTGCTCTCTTTAGCATACAGTTTGTGTTCCCTTAGTTTCTCAAACACCTTCGCCAAGTGTTCAGCATGCTCCTCTAGTGTCTCGCTATAGATCAGGATGTCGTCGATATAGACGACCACAAAGTGATCTAGATAGGGTACAAAGATGTGGTTCATCAGCGCCGAAAATGTTGCCAGCGCATTACATAGCCCGAAGGGCATCACTAGAAACTCAAAGCTCCCATACCTCGTGTTGTCTTCTCGACATCTTCCTCGGCTACCCTGATCTGGTAGTATCCTGACCTTAGGTCAATCCTCGAGAAGTATTTTGCCTTTCCTAACCTATCGAATAGGTCCTCAATCCTTGGCAAAGGGTACTTGTTCTTCTTTGTATACTTGTTGAGCAACCGGTAGTCTATGCACATGCGCATAGATCCATCTTTCTTTTTCACAAATAACACCGGCACCCCATACGGTGACTTGCTCAACCTAACATACCCTTTGTCCACCAACTCCTCTAGTTGGCACTTGAGCTCCTTGAGTTTTTTTTCATTCAAACGATAGGGGGGACGAACCACTGCCTCAGCACCCTCGACCAGCTCAATCTTATGTTCTATCGGTCGTGCGGGGGGCAACCCCGCCGGTAGCTCCTCCGGCATGGTATCTTGGAATTGGTCCAACACCCGCTGAATCACTAAAGGTACTTCTTCTGTTCCTGTCTTTTTGTCACTCTTCACCGAGAGTAAGCACAAAAATGCTGCCTTAGTTCCTTTAGTGAGTTGTCCTGTCGTGGACACCAGGTTTAAGCAGGAATCTTTGGCCTTTCTTTGCCCTACCTTTAGATCCTGGGCCTCCACCCTAGATCTTCTTCCTTGGGCATTTGCCAGTACCACAAGGTTTTTAGCTTGTCCATGCAGGGCTACCACGAACCGATTGAACCAATCCATTCCGAAGATCACGTCAAATCCCACCATGTCCAACACGGTGAAATCTATGTCCACCTTCCAAGTCCCCACTTCGACTCTTGCTTGTCGAAGTACCTCATCGGTGCTTTGGCTACATTGAACAAACTCTATAGTCCTTGGTTCGCCTAGCCGCTGCACTGTTAGTCCAGCTTGCCGAACTATGTCTGCAGCCACAAAATTATCCGAAGCACCCGTATCAATAAGGATCTTAACAAAGCTACCTCCGAGCTTCCCTCGGAGGGCTAGTAGATGTCACGAATGACTCTCTACCAAAGTTGCTTGTGTAATGAGTAACTTTGAGTTAGGGATTGGATCACATACCTCAGTTTGGACTTCACCCGACTTGATGGCCATATTGGCTCTGGCCTTCTTCGGGTAGGGACATTCCCTCGAAAAGTGTCCCGCTTCACCACAGTTGTAGCATACGTTGTTTCCCACACTGCTATACGACTTGACCTTCTTATCTGTGGGTTTGTCTCTTTTTGCTTGACTCCCCCACATACTCGCTCGCTGGCCACCGGATTTGCCTTTCCGAAACCCCGAGAACTCATTCTTAGAGAAACTCTTCTTGAATTTCCCTTGGCTATACGTTCCCCTTGGTTTGGCCCCTTTGCTAAACATAGACCCCGACCCCATTGTGTTTCCCTTTCGCAGGTTATCGTTGAAATGCACCTTGATGGCCGCATCCAATGCTTCCTTGTAGTTGGTCGGGTTCCACCGCATCACCTCACCGCGAGCCCAGGTTTGCAAACCTGATATGAAGGCATGGAACGCGTCCATATCCCCCATATCCGTGACAAGTATCCTCTTTGCCATAAACCCATTCATATACTCCTGAATGGTCCCAGTCTACTTCAGCCTACTCAGCTTGTCTCTTAGATGCAGAGTAGCATTCGGAGGAATGTAAGTCGCGCGGATCCTCGCCTTCATCATTTCCCAAGTGGCCATTGGTCCTTCGTTAGCCTCTGTCGTTCTCCACCAAGACTTGGCATTATCTGCCAAGTATGGTTTTGCATATGGGACCTTTTCCGAGCTTGGTAACCGCAACGCTCGGAAGTAGTCCTCCATATCATAAAACCAATCTTCCACCACCTTATAGTCATTCACTCCCTTGAAGACTAGTGGGGGCTTTGGTTTGTACTTGGGAACTACCTGAGAGACTGATTTCACTTCGGTCTGTTCGACCTTGTTTGGTTCTGCCTCAGTCCCTACCGAAGGGTCCGCACCCTCTGCGCTGCCAACATCCGCAGTCTTTCGCTTTTTCTTCCGCTTCTCATCACGCTTTAACTTGCGTACGAGAGTCTCTAGCAGGGCATTGGTTTATGCCAATTGTTCTTCTAGAACGTCCAATCGAGCCTTGGATGACCGAACCTCCCCACCGGACTCCTGTTTGGAAGTTGCCTCACTGGAGTCCTCCTCATGCAAGGATTCCTCATCCATAGCCTCTTGTTCGACCGGAGGCTCTAGCTTTGGAGGAGGTTCTGTCTCCGCCTTGGTTTGTTTCCGCTCTACCTTTCCCATCTCCCAGCAATCCGCCTCTATCCTTCGCTAGAACTGAGGAAAAGGCTCCGATACCAAATTGTAAGCCACAAATTTTTCCTTTCCAATTTGCCAGCTTACCTCGTCTATCCGACCAACACTGCCTTGGCTTGTGCTAAGTTCCCTCGCCAAGGTTCTCGCCTATTGTACCAGCTCCTACTTGGTCCTACTTGGTTTCAGCTACTCACTGCACGAGCAACGGAGAGTTAGCCTTCCATCCACGGATTCCCAAATCTCTCCCAATTCCCCCCCCCCCGGGTTAGACTGGACTTAAGGTTCGGCTACACTCCCCGCAGGCACAAGCAGCCAAGCACACCAAGCCTCCAGGTTCCTAACACCCCTTGGTACCACAAGACTTGATCATGGGACCCTCTAAATCCCAAGCCTTGGATGCAACACTTGCTTCGGGACATTGAGGCAAAACACCGTGGCCTAACGGCCCGGTATGGGTACCTTTACCCCCCCACTTCCATCCCGAAGGGAAGGCCCAAGCCCCTAGGAAGGGCAAGGACCAATGAGCCATAAGGTACTCAAGTGGGGCACCACTTCACATGAGCCGGGAGCACCGCAGTCAGTTTCCCTTTCGGGAGCGGGAGCTGCTCTTGAGCACTTCCCTGGGTGGCCCCTCCGGCACCACCCAAGCCCATGCTCACTCCCACCCAAGGCCCCTCGGCCCCAGTCTCAACCTCAAGTCAGTTTGGAAGCACCACTAGAGAGTTCCTTCAAGACTGGTTCTTGAACCTCACTATCCCTACTATACTTTTGGAAATCCCTGCAGCCTCCCCCCCCCCCCCTGGGAGATGCATGCTTTGGGCTTTCACCCCTTGACTCGTATTAGTATTTGGACTTAGTCTCAGATTTGATCTCGGACTCGATCTCGGACCCGACTTCGGATTCGGTCTCGGACTCGATCTCGGACTCAATCTCAGACCCGATCTCATACTCAACTTCAGACTCGACCTCGGACTCGGTCTCGAACCCGATTTGGACCTCGGACTTCGTCTCGAACTCGGTCTCAAACTCGGTCTCCGATTCGGCCTCGGCTCGATCCCGGACTCTATCTCGAACTCGGTCTCAGAGTCGGTCTTGGACTCGATCTTCGACTCGGTCCCATCCGATGAACTCTTTGTCATTTCGGTCACGCTTTCGGGGATCCTTTAGCCTACGACATTTCGGGGAATCGGTTCCTTACACACCAGCCATAAATGATCATTAGGATTCATCCCCACAAAATAAAGAAGGTCATCTTCAAGAAGATATGGAGAATGTAAATGTTAGAATGGCAAGTCATTAGCAAGTGATGCAGGATTCTCAAACTTTTCTTAAAGCCTTTAAATCCATTGCTCAATCTTTTGGGCCTCTTGAACCTCATCAAGAGAAGGTAGATCTTGCACTACACCTTGTGGACATTGAACGTCAAGTACAACAACCACTAACAGCACATAAATTTCATCTAGAAAATCCACAGATGTAGAATAATAGGCTCGTCTGAAGCATGAGAAGCGAGCAAAAAAGGAAAAAGAGCTTAAGAAAGGGCATTAGTATTAGTCATAAAACTCCCTGGGCGATGAACAATATCAAAATCATATATCTAAAGCTTCAAAACTCACTAAGCAGTATGACCAACTAAATTCTTCTGCTTCAATAATGAAGTAATAGCAGTATAATCACCTTTTAAAAACGTTCAAGAATCATGTATAAAGTTTTTTGAAACCCCAGACTATTACTAAACACTCCTTCTCTGTCGTGGAGTAATTCACCTTTGCTAGTTGTAATGTACAACCGATTTATGTAATGGGATGACATTGATCAGGCACACTCGGGCTCTCTTGCATCAGCATACTACCAAAACTAAATTTAAAACCATCCACACGCAAAATAAAAAGTTGAGTATAATCAAGATATACCAAAACCAAAGGAGTCATCAATAACATTTTGAGATCCCCTACTACTTAAGCCTGCCATGTGAATTCTAGTGAAGACTCATTTTTTTGTTGACACAGAAACTGCACAAAGACTTGCCACCAACAACACTGTATGCATTTGGCACGAGCGAGTATACAGCTTCATATCCACGTCCAACTTTGATGGCCCAAAAGAGACAAACATCCTGTTTTTATACACAAAGGGTAAAGCGATGGACCAGGTCTCGCAAACAATGGTGAAGGGCATCAAGGTTTACACGCCTGGCGGCCCAGAGGTAAGCAAGCGCCATCGTTTCTTCCAGCTAGGGTTTCGCGATACCGCGAATTTCTTGCGAAATTCAGCAAGATCGTGCGCTGTTCTCGCGTAATTTCTCGGTTTTCGTCCGGATTTCTCGTGTTTGGCTGGAATTTCTTGCTTGGTTGACAGTGTTTGCTTGGTTGAGCAAACTGTGATACTTGAGAAGGATTTGTTCATGTTCTATGTGATTCTTCTATTGCATATTGCGTGAAGAAGAACCCTTTCTTCGTTTTTGTCCTCTTGTTCTTTCCCCTATGCTGTGATCTTACAGGTACTAAAATATGAAGAACTGGACGTGGGAGAGCCTGGCGAGGGCCAAGTTAAGATCCGAATTAAAGCTGTTGGTCTCAACTTCATCGATGTTTACTTTCGAAAGGGGGCCTACGGCGCCAAAATGCCATATGTTCCTGGTAAGCCCAGCCAGAGTATATCAATTCCTCTCATCGTTTTTTCATTCTTTTCTTCTTTGTTTTCGTATTGATCTTCTTTTCTTCTTTGTTTCGTTCTTCGTTTCAACAGGCTTCGAGTCCGCAGGCGAGGTCATTGCAATCGGTCCAGGCGTGACAGACGCCAAAGTGGGAGACAAAGTTGGATGCATGGGAGCTTTCGGTGCCTACGCTGAAGAACAGATTGTTCCAGCGCGTGCGTTAGTTCCTATTCCTGAAAGTGTGGACTTCATCAAAGCGGGAGCGATACTGCTCAAAGGAATGACCGCACAAATGCTGCTTCGAAAAACCTTCAAGGTTTTCTTATATTTTATCGGTTCTAGTTTCTTAGTTCTTCTGTTTTTTGTTTTCTCAGGTAGGACCCGAGCACACGATTCTAGTTCACGCCGCTGCCGGTGGTGTTGGCTCGCTGCTCTGCCAGTGGGCTCGGTCGCTGGGTGCTCAAGTCATTGGCTGCGTCTCAAACGAAGAAAAAGCTCGCCAGGCCACTGAGGATGGATGCCACCACGTAATCATTTACTCCAAGGAAGACTTTGGCAAGCGAGTCATGGCCATCACAAACAATAGCGGCGTTCACGTTGTCTACGACTCGGTTGGCAGGGACACGTTCCAGGTACCTCTTTCTTTGCAAAGTTCACGCAAAGTTCTTTGCAAACTTCTTCGCAAAGTTCTTTCACAAGTTCTTTAGTTAGAGTTTTCAAACTTCTCTTTTCTTCCAGGGATCTCTCGATTGCTTGGCTACTCGCGGTTACATGATAAGTTATGGACAATCCTCCGGCGCTCCAGATCCTTTCACAATGTCCATACTCGCTCCAAAGTCGCTCTTCCTCACCAGGCCATCGCTGATCCAGTATACCACCAACAGGGACGAGCTACTGGAGATTGCCAATGATCTCTTCCACAACGTCGAGGCCGGAGTTCTCAAAGTCCGCGTGAACCAGACTTACCCTCTCTCGGACGCAGCAAAGGCTCACGATGATATCGAGAATCGAAGAACAACTGGCTCTACTGTCCTTATACCATAGATAGTTTACAGCTCGAGAAAAGCTTGCGATACCTCTTAAGCTTTGAGATAAAGCTCTATGTTTTCGACGCCGCAGAGCATTCGCACCTTGTCTATCGTGGCTGGGGCGTCCAGCTGGAAATAAGGCTCCGGATCGCGGAGGTTCTTACGAGCAGCAGCTATGGCGTGCCTGAGAGCACCGTGCACTGACGATGCCAGGAGCAAAGGTGGCTCTCCAGAAGCTACACAATTCAAGGAGCTCGATCAAGACGATCGCTAAGGAACAGCATAGGAAAGAAAGGAGTGGAGGCTTGCCTTTGGATGACAGTATCCTGTGCTCGTGAACTTTGCTGTTGAGGAGCTCCACATTGAGACGGCGAGGTAAGTTGTCCAGCGTTGGAGGCTTGTACGTCCATGTTCCATCGTTTATAAGCTTTCCTTGCTCGTCGTGGCGATGCTCCTCGGATGTAAAGAATCCCACGCCTTGAGCAAACGCACCCTCGATCTGGAAATGAAGAATCTCTCTAAGAGCTTGCAATAGTTTCTGGAAATATGTTACCTGTCCAATGTCCACGGCCGGATTTATGCTCTTCCCACAGTCGTAGACAATGTCGGTTTGGAGAATTTCGTACTCGCCAGTGAGAACATCGATCTCAACCTTGACAAGAGAAAATCCAAGCCATGGATGAAACCAAAACAAAACAAAAAATAAGAAAATGAAAGAACAAGAGATGGATAAAACGATCTTACCTCACTAGCAGCAGCACCATAGTTTATGTACGTCAGGGCCTCAGGCGACGAAACGAAGGCAGTTTGCGCGGCCATCTCGACCCGAGCATTCTTTGCCTGCAAAACATTAAAGGATAGAAACGAAAGCAAAAATCAAAACAATCACAAACTTACAGCAAGAACGAGCGATTCCCACGACGACACCGTCTCTCCATCCCGGCACTCAGCCATTCTCTTCTCATGAATCGGCTTAAAGCGGTTGACGAGCACCCGGCAAGCCTGCCGCACGGCCTCGCAGCTCGCCTCGGACGTGGTACTACCGCCAGTCCATCCACCGTGCGGCATGCTAATGGTATCCGCCTGGACCACCCGGACTCTCCCTACGTCCACGCAAATTCCACCGCCGAGCCCCTCACCCAGCGCGCTCGCCGCCGCCTGCCTCACTTTGGTCCACAGCCCCTGTCCAATCTCCACGCCGCCAGTCTCCACCACCACGGATCCATCCGCCATGATCGACACTCTCCCTGGCTGGTACCTCTGCTGCACAGTGTACGTGCTCTGCGACACCGCCACCCCGCGCTTCTTCCAAGCATTGGCTGCGTTGTATCTCTCCACTTCACGTAGCCGCTCGTCAACGTTTGCTCGATCTTTCAGCCGCGACCAGACCGCCGGGAGAGTGTATCCTTCCTCGCCCCCAACCGCGGCCGCGCCGTAGGCCGCCCCGGCGCTCTCGACCGAGTGGAGGTTGCGCTCCATGACGAGCTCCGAGCTCAAGTTTGTGAGAGCTGCGACGTGCTCGACCACTGCGTCGGCGAAGAAGCAGCCTTGGACGTCGCCCGGGGCGCGCATAACCGTCCTGCTCGGGATGTTGGTCCGGCACAGCACGAACTCGAAGGAGAAAGCTCCCCAGTTGAGCTTCTTAAGGGCGGAGAGCACCCCCATTGGCATGACAGGGGTGAATTCTGGCGACCAGCCTCCTTGGATGAAGATCTTGGCGTGGAGGGCGTTGATCTTGCCGTCGGGCTCGAAGCCTACGTCGTAAACGGCCTTCATTGGGTGCCTTCCACCCATCATGATCATGTCTGTGTTGCGGTCGAGAGTGAGGCGGACGGGGCGGCGGAGTTTGTACGCGGCGAGTGCGCAGGCAGAGGCAACCTGCACGATTCATGCTTAGAACCAAGGGTGTAAAAGGGAATGCGAGAAAACGAAGATGAGAAAAAGGAAGTGCTCGCAACAAAAACCATAGTTTTGATGCAAGAAGATGCAAAACTGTAGACTACTTACCAGGCAGGCTTTGGTGCCTTTGCCTCCAAATCCTCCGCCAACTCGTCGGGTGATGACTCTCACGTTGTGCATGGGCAAGCCGAGGCAGGCTGACACGCTGTGTTGCACAAAGTCGGGGCTCTGGCAGGAACTGTAGACGACGAGACAGTTGTCCTCGTCCGGAACGACCAACGCAGTCTGTGGTTCCATGTAGAAATAGTACTGCGACCCTGTGCGCACCTGGAAGTTCCACTCGTGATCAAAACGTGCTTGCAAAAGAAAAATTGCTCCGTTTTACCTCAGCGTTTTCGATCTTAAGACTGGCCTTGGCCATCTCTTCGGCAACATTACCGTGTTTGTCCTTCATCACATCCTTGCAAAACTGTGGGATTTCGTGGAGTTCCCCTCTGGCAACCGCTTCTTCCATGGTTAGCACGGGAGAGCCGACAGACTCCGTGTCGTAATCAATCACAACTTTGCCGGCGGCGGCCTTGGCGTTTCTCAGCGTGTCCGCAATCTGGACGAGGACAGGTTTAAAAATCAATGGATTCGTCCGTAGCTTACCATAAGTCCGACGGCATGGCCCACGCACTCAACTTTATTCTCGGCGAAGAGCTTTTCTTGAGAGAGATCGGAGACGAGGCCCATATTCTGTCCGCCAGAAGGAATGTCATCAACTCCAACGAAGGACACCGCGCCAGGCGAAGCCAGTGCATTCTCAAGCCGGATTCCGTTTATCTTTGCCAATGCTTTCGTACTGTAAACATAGACTGCGTGCACGCAGTCCCTCGGAGCTGGAATATCATCCACGTAAATAGCTTCACCTGAAGAGAAGTTTTAAGAACGAAAACTAAAACCAAAACAGAACAGCTTACCTGAAGCTTGAAGCTCTCCCATAACCTTGGACATTGGCTGTCCGACAGCTCCCTGGAGATGTTCTTGCAATGTCTGTCTCCCAGACATGATCTTTCTTGACGACCTCGGGGTGCTTCCATTCTGGGTCTGTGTAACATACGGCAGCTCAGGTACAATGCTGCTGCTTGGAGCGGCTAGAGAGCTTAAGAACTTGAAGAGGAAGCTCGCAACAAGCGAAGACCTGTAGTCGGCCTTCGAGGTTCCCTTCTTTGGCACTATACAAATCTTCGCAAGCTGGATGGCCTCCAACATAACTCCACTGTCCACCACCTTCCCTTCGAGAAACCTCTCAACTTCAGTAGCACGCTGACAAGTAGGCTCTCCTCCAAAAGCACCGAACGCGAGCCTCGACTCGCAAACTCGTCCGTCACCCGAGAGATTGACGAGAAACGCCGCATTCACGTAAGCCACGGCGTTTCCGAGAGGCCGAGGTGATGCCCTGTATGAGTCAAACCTGACGTTGTCCTGCTTGCTGTAGGATGGGATGCAGATCGACTTTAAAATGCTTTTCCCGTCCCATGTAGCTGCCACAAAGTCCTCCACAGACTGCCGTGATTCTCCAAACTTCTGCGTCACCACCTTGACCGAAGCGCCGGCTCCAACCAGTAAAGTCGCAATGTCGGAGTCGAAGCCGAGCTTCTGTGCCAGGATCAGATTTCCTCCCACGCTCCCCGCGTTTCTTACGTGCAAAGTTGCCACTTTTCTCATGTGCTCGGCCAACTTGAGATAAACTCCGCTCGAATCACTGCGGCCAGAAGCCTTGAGGAGAGCTATAAGCTTGGATATCTTCACGGCAGCACCGACTTCAATCCCATCCTCGATAACTTTCTCCTCCAGGAGCTCTGGAACGGCACCAATCTCTATGAAAACTTCCGGACTGGACTGGAGATCGTCCTTGTAAATCCCTGTGCTGGTGTTTCCAGCTACGAGCCTGGCCGTGTCTTGATACCTCTCGAGCATCGTGAAAACTTCCTCCAAACCACCCGGTCGAATCCATTTCTTCGTAGAACCCAGAGCAACGAGAGAGTGATCCTGACGATCCAGAAAGTCGGGGAACCGAGAACCTTCCAGTCCTGGATTGTAGCCCGGCAGGAGATTTCTATCCGGCGTATCTCCCAGCTTCCAGTAGGAATTTATCCCGAGGTCCTCAAGATCCACATCGCTGGAGAAGCTCTTGCAAATATCGGAGATCGGCCTATAGCCCGTGCAGCGGCACAGATTCGCAGCGATGGATTTCTCCAAATCCACCGTCTGCGTAGGCCTGGGCTGCGATCGCAGCGCGCCGTAGAGCGACATGCACATACCCGGCGTGCAAAATCCACACTGCGAGCCATGGAACCCCGCAAATCTCTTCTGGATCGAGTGGAGCCCGTCGCGGGAGTTTCCCAGGCCTTCAATCGTCGTGACGGCACAGCCGTGGAGCGAGCAGAGAGGCGCCAGGCACGAATTCACGGTGAAATCCTCGCTCTCGCCGCGGGAGGCGCTGTGCTTGGACACAAGAACCACGCATGCTCCACATCCTCCTGCTCGAAATATGGGGATTCCAGAGCTCAGAGCGATCAATCGATGAATTCTTACCCTCGCCGCAGCCGAGCTTGGTGCCCGTGAGCGCCGCCTCGTTGCGGAGGAATGCGAGCAGCGTCATGGAGGGATCGACATGGTGGAGCTCCACGCGATTTCCATTCAACGCGAAGACGAGAGATCCTTGCGGCGGCTCCAAGCAATCTGGAGATGGAGAGCTTCCCATCGATCGATCGATCGAGAGAGAGAGAGAGAGATAGATAGATGGAGAGAACAGAGAGCTGACCCTATTTCTTCTTTCCTGTCCACGCGTCCGGGTGGATCACGTCATAAGAGCTTGTGCCAAATCAAACCACGTCGTCGTCGTGGAATGGTGGTTTTTTAAAACGCATCTCCATTTTAAAACGCATCTCCATTGTAGCCCTTATAGGATCATCAGAGGAAAGGCAAGCAAGCACAACCCTAGCAATGATAGCCTCCGGGCATCTGCAGCTTATTGGGTTTTCTTTGACGAAAGAAAGAGAATCAAGACGATACCTTGTGTTCCACCACCTTTTCTATGATAAACGAATCTGCTTTATCCAGGAAGGTCTTTGCCATTTGAGGCACCCTAAACTGAAAATGGGAAGACAAGAGTGGCCAAGAACTGCCCAGCATCTCCGCATTTGTGACTTATGTGAAGTAGAAGATGTGTTTCATGTTGTTTACGACCTTCCACATTCTACACACTCAATTCCCACAGATCCCCTGGAATCTGAATCCCCAAATTGTTAAATAAACAGTGTTACTAATTAGTATTAGCATATGGAAAGAATGGCTTTGTATAATTAAATTCCTTGTTACTCTTAGTGATGAGCATATTCCAGACATCAAAAGTGCAAATGCAAAACCTTCAACTATGTACAATAATTTGCTACATGTTGCATGTAGCAATGCTTAGTTTGTTTAATAGTTACTTATTAATCCAATTGATCAAAGAAAAGTTTATAATTTATAAACATAAGATTAATCTTATTGCATATCAACAATTAGATGGTAGAATAAATAATTTGCTACGTGTTGCATGTAGCAATGCTTGGTTTTCTTAATAGTAGTATTATTTCTACTTATTAATCCAATTGATCAAATAAAAATTTAGAATTATAAACATGTTTATAATTTATAAATACAAGATTAATTTTATTGGTAGAGTATACTAGAAAGTGTTTAAGAAATTTTATAAATTATAAACATGTTTATCAATTATAAATACAAGATTAATCTAGATAAATAACAACCGTTGGATAGTAGAATATCCTAGAATATCCTAGAATATCCAAGAATATTCTAGATATATGCTCATCCCTTACAGGTTTGCTTAAGCAAACCAAAAATACAAATTTAATCGAAATAATATCGTAAACAAAACAGTTGTACATAAATGTAAGTAAAATTGTTTGCCATATACTGACACAAATCCAAGCTGAAATTAAGTGTGAGAAAAGAAACGAATGACAATCATTGAGTGATATCTGGCTCGGCAGCCAGCTAGAACATGCCGAACCTGTCGTATGCCACCTCCGCACCACCAAATCTTATGATCAAAATAAGATTGGGCCATCGGCCTGGCTCAGGTTTCACACTCGGTCAATTGGGCCATGTCGATCAAGCTGATATATATTAACACTATTGCCGGCTACCAAAGAGCAAATTTTAACAAAGAAAAATGGACTTTTAATAAAATACGGGATCGTGTCCATTTATGTGAACAAGTCGCCGTCTAAACAAGTTGTGACCTGTAAAGCAAGGTTAGACACGCTTCTCTGGGCAGGCCATGCAATTATAAATGAGTCCCTCCTTGACCGCCTAAGTTTTGGAAGTCTTGCTGGGAGCAAAGCTAGAGCCGCCCACACCTTATAAATAAAGGGCTCAAGATCTATCAGTCACTTAGTAACCATGAAGTCGATGAACATGGCGCTAGCTCTCAATGTCTTACTTGTGAATCTCATGATCATCATGTTGTTGCGGGGCTCTCATGCTCAGGACTCCTACTCGCGCGCTGGCTCTACACTGTGCAGGGACCTCGCACAGAGCGACTGTGATGCTGCTCGCCGCCAGATTCAGCCTAGCCCGGCGGCAGCAAAGGCTCCAGCGGCGTCTGCTCCGGCCACTGTGGCCTCTTTGTCTCTGGCTCCAACTGCGACCTCAATGGCTCCGAGATGATCACTGCCTTTGACGAACCCCGTGCTCGCAACTGCGCCAAGTGTGGTATCAAGACTTACAATGACGGCTGCCAGTTCAAGGCGGATTATGTCACAGGTTGCTAAGCGCACTTTAAATCTTCTCAAGAAAACTAAAAATATATATACGACGGTATGTCTGAGCTTGGCATAAAAACGATTCTTCGGTCGTTTCTTTGCTATCCGAGGTTCTAGATTCCCGTGGGTGTATCAGGAAATAAAAACAGCAACAATTTGATGAGAACCAAAGTGGAAAGACAAGCAATCAAGTAAGCGCTGGGAATCTTGCGCTCTTAGTTTACAGTTTCTTTGCTCTGTCAGTGAGGCTCCCAACCAGGTCGAGCCTACAATAAGATGAACAAACGAGGAATGCAGCTCCATATAGGATGCGCAAGCTCGCAGATCTGGACAGCAAGAACAGCAACGGTATAAACACAACTCACAGAGTAAAAGTTCCAGCTTATCACAACAAACATCTAAGATCCAATCAAAACTTAGAATGATGAGGACGATGAAAGTGATAAGGGAGTGCATGCGCTGCCATCAGCCCATGTATAAACACAGCAGGTGTCCATGAAGCTACATGTGTCACCTGTTGGCGTTCAGGGCAGTGGTATCTGGCGAGGACGACATCTTCTTCGCGATCGCCTTCTAATCCACATCACAGTCCGAGTCGCTATCCGCTAGAATGACGTGGCAGCGTCAACACGAATACAGATTTGTGCCCCAAAAGTCGATGAGGAAGAATTGTTCATGGGCATCTTCCTGCGACTCGATGTTGATGCGAGTGGTGGCGCTGCTCCTGGTACTGCATTTCTTTCAGGAAGCAGTATGTTCTCTGGGACCGTTCGAGCCCACTTCTCTGCCTCTCGCCCGCCTGTCTACACAGTTTGGAAGATGCTCTGTTGAGGAGGTTGATAGCATTGAGACGATATGTGGATCCTGAGACAGGGATTTATCGGATTGCAGTGCTCAACACCAAGACAGTGAGTGTTTAGGGAGTTTGTTGTCCACCCTTTCCAGTACAATTCTGGCTCCGGAAGCTGGGGGAATCCATGACTTGTCCAATCCTGACTGAGGGAGAGGATCGCTTCTATGACCTGCTACAATGGAGTCTGGCAAGCGGTGAGCCAGGATCCATTCGGCTACTGGCAGATATTGTGTGAGGATTTTGCTGGTACAAGCGTGCTAGCTAGAGAAGGATGAGGATGGCTCACACTCAGCCATGGTCGCATCTGGGAAATATTACTGGCCACTTCGTGATATCAACATGGGAGGTGAAGAATGGATGGGGATGATGTGATTGTTGTTGCCAACTGTATGGGATAATTTTGTGTTCTTATCTGTATTGTGGTCATTTGGAAAAAGAGTTTGCATATTTTTTTACCCGTGACCTATACATTTGCACCAATCTCAAAATTGGAGAATTAGATTTACAAACTTTATATTTATGCTATAAGTGTACAATTATAATATTGTATATTAATATTAGTGTAATGGGATTTTAATAATTGAGATTGTCAAAATCTTGTGCATGCATTTTCAGCCACTTTTGATTATGCCTTTTGTTTAGCACAATGTTATGAAATGTCATTTCTTCCACTTTTTACTACATATCCTTAAACTTTACTTCCTGTGGGAGATGGTTATATTCCAATAGAAGTTAATATTGCTGTTACTTGAGTTTCAATTAAGACAACCACTTCAAGTTTCTGACCTCATTTTTGGTATGGATTGATTGTGGTGCAATAATGCCAAATGTGACTTTAAGGTTTCTTCTCTTTATCTCGTACTTCTTTATATTTTTTCCATTCCTCTCACTTTTATACCTCTTCATTCTTTTATTTTTACCTTTGCTTCCATCACTTTTATTTCCCCTTTACATCCTTTTATGTTTCTATTTTCTTCCTCTCTTCCCTTTTCCAATCCTTTCGATAATCTTTATATTATAGTAGTTTACCAGCTCATAAAGGAGTATGCCAATCTCTTTAAATTTGACTTGTCATTTGAGGCCAAGATTGCTATACGTCATTTTATTCCAATTGCAAATGCTCATCTAATAAAAGTTCTAGTTTGTTGTTGATTATGCAAAGAGATCAAAATTTTATGTGCAAACATCAAAAAGATGTTAGACAAGGGTGTTATTCAAAAGTTGTAGAGTCCTTGGGCGTGTGAACCTCATCTTGTGACAAAGTCTAATAAAAGTATTCATTTTTGCATCGAATTAAATGAAGTGATAATTTCGGATGTGTACCTTCTTCCTCACACTGTTGATCTCTTGGATCATTTAGGGAGAAGTCATTGGTTAACTAAGTTAGATTTTGTTTCTGGGTACTGGCAAGTACCGATGGCTGAAACAGATCTTTCTAAAAGTTTTTTTCATACACCATTTGGTTTGTACTAGTTTTTAGTGATGCCATTTGGTTTGAACAATGTTTTAACAACTTTCCAGCAGATGATGAACGAAGTTCTTTGTGATATGCCAGAGTGTAAGCCATAAAATTATCTGAAACACCCATAATCTTAATAAAGCTACCTCCAACCTTCCCTTGGAGGGTTAGTAGATATCATGAATAACTCTCTACCAAAGTTGCTTGTGTAATGAGTAACTTTGAGCTAGGGATTAGATCATGTACCTTAGTTTTGTTTTCACCTGACTTAATGGCTATATTGACTCTGGCCTTCTTTGGGTATGGATATTCTCTCAAAAAATGTCCTACTTCACTACAGTTGAAGCATATGTTGTTTCCCACAATATTACCCAACTTGACTTTTTTATCCATAGGTTTGTCCCTTTCCACTTAACTCCCCCATGCAAGGATTCTTTATCCATAGCTTCTTATTCGACCAGAGGCTCTAGCTTTGGAAGAGGTTCCATCTCCACCTTAGTTCTTTTATGCCCTCCCTTTACCATCTCCCAGCAATCTATATCTATCCTTCATTAGAACTAAGGAGAAGGCTCCGATACCAAATTGTAAGCCATAAATTTTTTCTTTTCAATTTGCTAACTTACCTCGTCTATCCAACCATCACAACCTTGGCTTTATTTAAATTCCCTCACCAAGGTTCCTACATATTGTACTAACTTTTACTTAGTCCTACTTGGTTTCAA